CCCCAGACAACTCTAACCCTTTAAGAAGACGACATATTTGTAACACACTGAACAGAAAACTGGCCTTTAAAATAATGTCATCCTGCTGTCTCCTTTCTCTGGCTATGGTGCTAAGTGTGGTACTTCTGTTTCTTCCCTTAATATCTTCTTCATTTTAACAAAGAATATTTCTCCCTGAGGCCAAGCACGGTGGCTCACGCCTGTAATCCCAGCATTTTGGCAGGTAGATCACCTGAGGTCATTAGTTTGAGAACCAGCCTGGCCAACATGATGAAACCCCGTCTCTACTAAAAATACAAAAATTAGCTGGGCGTAGTGGTATGTGCCTGTAATCCCAGCTACTTGAGGAGGCTGAGGCATGAGAATCACCTGAACCCAGGAGATGGAGGTTGCAGTGAGCCAAGATCACACCACTGCAGTCCAGCCTGGGCGACAGAGTGAGACTCAATCTAAAAAATACTAATAGGTGGGTGCAGTGGCTCACACCTGCAATATCAGCACTTTGGGAGGCCAAGGCAGGCAGATCACAAGGCCAAAAGATCGAGACCATCCTGGCCAACATGATAAAACCCCATCTCAGCTAAAAATACACAAAATTTGGCTGGGCTTGGTGGCACACACCTGTAGTCCCAGCTAATCGGGAGGCTAAGACAGAAGAATCCATTGAACCCAGAAGGTGGAGGTTGCAGTGAGCCGAGATCGCGCCAGCCTGGTAACAGAGCGAGACTCCGTCTCAAAATAATTCTCTCTGCATCATATCTCAGTTTGGTATCATCTGTAACCCACAGAACTTTATTTTACTTCATAGCTCTTAGCAATACAGAATGATTTCTTTATAGTCCATGGTTTCCACTAGGATGTCAGCTCCGTGAAGATGGGAACCTTATCACTACTCTTATCTCCAATGCCTAAAACAGTGTCTGTGGCTTGATAGGCACTGAGTATGTGTTGACTGATCAAATGAATGAACATACAGGCTGTCAGCCTACCACAATGTTCACTTTCCACCACCACAAAAACCTAATTTAAGATGCTAATTGGTTTCTGTGCCACCATGGGGCCATGCCTCACATTCTGCCTTATGCCCACCTGCCAGCTCCCACTCCTTCCTACAGCACATCAAAGGGACATAGGTAATACACTGTGTTAAGACTAGCAGCCTTTACAAGGATTATATGCCTTGCCCTTGTCATGCTAATTACAGGGAAACTCCAGATTTCTTGGTTTCTCCTGATATTTCTCTCCTTAGAATCTCAACATGCCTTCAATTCGGCTTCATTTACTGGCCCAGTGTCTTGATCTTTCACTCCACTCTCATTTCCTCCTAACAAAGGGTTGGTCTCATTTCCTGAACACCAAAATATGCTCTCTAAATCCACCACCTTGAGAATCACTCCCTGATGTAGTCTCATAATGCTTTATCAAAAACCTAAGCAGGCTGGGCGCCGTGGCTCACACCTGTAATCCCAATACTTTGGGAGGCTGAGGCAGGTGGATCACCTGAGGTCAGGAGTTCAAGACCAGCCTGGCCAACATGGTGAAACCCTGTCTCTACTAAAAATACAAAAATTAGCCAGATGTCGTGGCAGGTGCCTGCAGTCCCAGCTACTCAGGAGGCTGAGGCAAAATTGCTTAAACCCAGGAGGCAGAAGTTACAGTGAGCCAAGGTCACGCCATCGCACTTCAGCCTAAGCGACAGAGTGAGACTCCATCTCAAAAAAAAAAAAAAAAAAAGGAAGAAACCAGGTTTTTAATGTGTCCCAGATACGTTAGCTTTCTTCGTGTCCTGATTCAGGAGTATTATAAAAGGGACATGTGGCCGGGCGCGGTGGCTCAAGCCTGTAATCCCAGCACTTTGGGAGGCCGAGGTGGGTGGATCACGAGGTCAAGAGATCGAGACCATCCTGGTCAACATGGTGAAACCCCGTCTCTACTAAAATTACAAAAAATTAGCTGGGCATGGTGGCGTGTGCCTGTAATCCCAGCTACTCAGGAGGCTGAGGCAGGAGAATTGCCTGAACCCAGGAGGCGGAGGTTGCGGTGAGCCGAGATCGCGCCATTGCACTCCAGCCTGGGTAACAAGAGCGAAACTCCATCTCAAAAAAAAAAAAAAAAAAAAAAAAAAA